TTATCTAGGGCCCTTATTGCTTTCCAAACTTCAATATAAAAATTATTTATTAAACCTCCTATATCTAATATGTCATTTGCAATTCCTTTCAGCGCGAAACAATCATCGTTATAAGACTTCCTTTTTTTTATGCGGCCGTCAAGCTACATTATTTCGCACAGATGTACTCCGATACGTTATAAGGTTTCCTGTGACATCATTAGCTAAAAAATTCTTTCTCAAATTTAAGTAGTTCGATAATAAAGTCTTCGATAAAAAAATTCCTATGCAGAGTAGAACGCAAATTACGCGGAAGAGTAATGATTTTTCACGTTAAGCAATCTCTGATTCGGAGCAGCAAGTCCGCGACAATCAAACGGAGTACATGTATGCATGTGTACGTGTACAAACTCCGCGCAATGCGTTATGCACCGCGTAATCGCAAATCTCGTATTTGCGGGGGGATTGTAAAAAAAATACTGGCTAAAAAATTTTCTATTCCCTTTCACTTACAGTACTGCTGCGCGCGTGATGGTGACGCAAGAACGACAGCACCGCGAGTTTCCATCGCGAGTATCCTCGTGCATCGCGTGAGCGATGCATATTTCAGAGATGATTATATAGTCTCCATATAAAGGAAGATATATAGTCTTATAGAGAAAAACCGCCTCAACATTTTCACTTTTTGTCTGACGATGATACTTAAAATTAGCGCGAATTATAATTTAATCCAACTTGGATCCAGCATCGCTTAAAGATTGAATTTTAACGCGAGATTGAAATTGCGGATGTGATCCTTGATTTGCGTGCGAACACGCACGAATAAATTCACGTCCGAGACCTTCCGCTCGCAGCTGCTAACCGAGTTATCCAGGTCGTCCTCGCCTCATTTCTCGTCGCCGCGTTCTTATTGAAACTGTCCCACTGTACCCCACGGTAGAATAACTTTGGTTTTGTCGACGGTCGGATTTGCGGTTTCGCGAGCATCTCGTAAATCTTGCGAGCGGAAATAACGACGTATCGCGAGAGTACCCCCTTACAAAGTGGCCAAATTACGTATCGTCGATAAGGTTCGTAAAAGTGTCCCTCGTTATCGTGCACGTAGTCATTTAAAGTTTGAATTAAATTGACATTATTTTTATCCTCGAACCCCTTATCGTAAACGTTAATAATGTTTACGACGTGTCGTTAGAAGATAACGAGCAATAACAAATTGAATAAAATGAATTGAATTTTTACAACGCGTTGTTAAGAAAACTACAGGTAAAATTATGCAGAGTTATAAATTGGGCAGCGTATAAAATGTTGACAAAAATATTTATCCATCATAAATATATTTGAGAAATAAAAGTTTTAGCAAAGTGTAACGAAAAATTATATTTTCGCTAAATATCGCGACAATATTTAATTATCCGCGACATAAACATTATTAGTCAGACATTATCGCGGCGACTCGGATCGTTTAACCGTACGGTTGTCATATCAATTAGAGATAGCTAATAGATAAAATTAACAGCGTGATATTATACGGAATAGAGAAGGTGAATAGAGACCGTTGCCGCCGCGACTCAGACTTTTCTCTCGCCTCGATCTATTTAAAATTCGCTACGGCCGCGAAAAGTCTACCCACCTCACGAGATCGTTTTTCTTTCGGAAGGAGGGCAATCGCGTTCTAATGTCGCGCGAGCGTCGAGTTCCGCGGAGTGACGAGCGGCCGTGCGCTTCCAAAAATACTCTGGTTCAAAAGCCGAGTGGCTACTGTCCGGTGGCTGCTTTACGGCATATTTCCTCTCTCCGACTATCTATCTCATCGCCGAATAATTTCAAATACTAATTAACACAGAAATTGGATAAACAAACTGGATAGCGGAATCGACTTTGATATTCCTCGACTTTCTCTTTTAAGCGAACATACGAGTCGAGTAAACTGGCAAATGAGATTCGGCAGCGCATTGACACGTAAAAAATAAATGTATCGTATACATCCGAATATATATAGAAAGTTGAAGAGAGAGAGAGTGAGAGAGAGAGAGAGAGAGAGAGAGAGAGAGAGAGAGAGAAATGGGAGGATACGATTCCTGTTCTTTCTCGTGATAGGCAATTAAATTAAAACTTGGAATTCAATGACCAACGAGCCGGTAATCAACGTGATTACCGGACAACCGAGCGCATATAAAAAATTCCGCAAGGATCTACTTTCTCTTTATACGGACAATTCCACGTGAACTCGCTTGACCTCGAACGACCGACTTCAACATCCACGAATGTCGTTCAACGGAGCATCCCGCCGTGATGCGATGCGGAGTGTCGATGACCAAATGCAACGGAAAATAATATGTGGACCGGAGCTCGAGCCTTAGCAAAATCGGGACACGGATCGACACGTATGATCGCGGTATATACGGTTAATACCAAGAGTATAATCGATCGAAACTTGCACGACTTCCCGTTTCCTGCATCGTCTTATCTCGCCGATAACACCAATCTACCTTTAAGCGCGGTTAAAAATCGAAATATCGACAACAAAACATCAACATATGTAATCTTCCGAATGACAATTTATCTCTTTATCTTTCACCAATCGACACATAATGATGTAATCGTCGTCCGAAGGACAAAACGCGATGTCGTATCAATCGCTCAGATAGCTCGACAGCATCCACCGTAACCGCTTCATTGTTTCATCGTGCTCTTTGTTGCAACAATAACGGGACAAATATCACGGAATTAATCTGAACCGCAGAGGAACCATGCCTGCTTGAATAGATGCGTTATCTCGAGTAGAAAAGAAATTCTAAAGAGATTAAACGCGCGAGAGCGAGTCCAATTTCGGTTAACAACGATGCCTTTAAGACATTCAGATGAATGCAGCAAGTTAGCCATAAGCAGGAAATGTATATAGCGTCTCTCTCCGGATCGGAACTCGGAACGCCGACTTTCACGTTCTAAATTCCTTTATCTCGCCGCGTACTTTTATAACATACACGCACGAGCCTCGGAACAATGCCGCTGCGAGCAACAGTCGGAGTCGACGACGAGCGAAGCGATTCGTTCGATATCTGAGCTAGATCTCTCCCTACAAAAAGACCCTCAAGATTACACTTACATCTAGATATGAAATTTTTCTATCTTCTTGATAATCTTACCTAAATGCATATCCACCACGTCGAGGGGAAAAAACGGCGCACTGTCGTACGTCAGCGTAAAAACGAGATGTAGGCGGACGCTATCGAGATAGCACGCGTGTATCCCGCAAGAAGAGGAGACGAAGCGATCGAGCGTCGCAGCATCGTCAACGCCACTACGAACACTTGCGAACTTGGATGACGAAGCGCATCTTCTTTTTCTTTCCCTTTTTTTCTCTCACAGCCGGCACAGACACGGACCAGTTACGAGACTATACGTTGCGTTGCTTCTCTCGAATTTTCTCGCTTCCGCGCGGCACTCGTTTCGTCGCACTCACGACGCATGAATGACTCCTTCGCCACGCTGTGCGCTGTGCCGCGGGGTCATGCGAGGGCGGCTGTTCGACGGCGGTTAAACCACGCCGAATGGACCGCGCGAAGAGTTGCCGAGCTCCGAGCGTTGCCGAGGTATGTCTCGGTTAGACGAGGACAGACGGACGAACGGACGGACGAACGGACGGACGAACGGACGGATGGACGGACGAATGGGGAAACGAGTAGGAGGCTAAGAAAGAAAGAAGGGAGAGGGACCGAGAGGGGCGGCCGGTTAGGCCCGAAAGGGAGAAAAGGTTGCAAAAGGAGACCTGTCTGGCTGATCCGACCGTACTCCGATTCGATTGCGATCCCTCCTCACTGTTTTTAGAAGAGAACGACGCTGTGAGATGCCGGTTCTAAAAGCCTAGGCACACGTTGCACGTATCGGCGATTGTTCTATTTGCTTCTTAACGTTACACCGAGTTACGTGAGGGATGTCACAAATCGAACACAAAAGATACGGCGCACCATTTGCGTTTAAATATAGATGTATTCTAAGAAAAAAGGAAAATGAGATGGACAAATGGAAAGAGAAAGAGAGAGAGAGAAATAGATGCGAAGAAAAGCAAGAGATAAACGTAGGGTGAGGATAAAAGAAGAGAAAAGGAGGAGGAGGAAGGGAACCTTGGATCAACGTGCTCGCTGTAACGTGCTCGTCCACCGGCGACGACCGTGGAACGGCGAACTCTGTCGGCTCGTGCAGCCGGCAATAGGCAGCTGGTCTCCCTAGCGTTCAACGAAGCGCATCGTTTGCGTCCGAACGCGGGCCTTCGGCAAAGATCGGAGCTTGGAATAAAACAACAAACGTAGCTCCGCCGCGCCGGCTGTTCGCTCCCCACTCTTAGCTTCCTACGCCGTCACGTCCGTTGTTTTTAAACGTTGCGTTGGTCGGTCGTTGGCGAGGTAGCATAAATTCAGGCTGATACACACGTGCTCGACCAACGCACTTTATTCTTAGCACGTATCCTACCGAATCGTGCTGCTCGCCAGCCTTCTCGTTTTGGAATTAACAATTAAACCGATTAATTAAGGAGACGTTGAAGCTGATTTATTCATACATTTATGCCCTTTCCGCCTTCTGAATTTAACGCTGTTCACTGTTTATTTATTTAAAAGTAAAAAAAGAACAAGAACATAACGCAAATATAATATTATTCAAAGAAATCTATAAAAAGTGTTTGTCTTCTTTTATAAAATATATTTTATATCTTTGATATAATTCTTTCTCTTATACTACCTTCAAATATTATTCATTTTTTATTCATTTAATGAAAATAAATGTATTGGAGCAATATAAATTGTTTATGTTTCTATATATCTTCTGTTTTATAGGAGAAACAACAAAATGGAAAAAAAAAACAAAAGGAAGATACAAAATAACATTTGGCACATTATCAGTAAACATGTATTTATATATATAATGAAATTTGGTCGAGAAATAAAAAAGTAGGAAGGCTTGCCAACTATATGGAAACCTCGTTATTAAATAAATAAAATAATAGAAAATGACATGTTACTTACCATATGCTCTATTGCTTTTTCTTCTAATTCAGGTAGAGTCCAATTGATGTGAAAGCTCAAAGGTTGAAGACGCGATTCCATTCCTCGTAACCATTTCCTTAGACATTTTACTTCACGTTCAAAATCTATTAATATACAAATTGAGATTACATATACATTAAAAATAAGCTAGCAAGAAATAGGTTTTTCAAAGATTAATAATTTATTACCTGCTGATATATCTTGTTGACTAGATATAGGTCGGTCTATGGGCGCCATAATTTGTTCTACTAATTCCCATTTTGCATTCAAATGATCTACACGCCATGCCACTTCGTCTTTTAAAGCAGGGGCGCGAGAAATTAATTTTTCCGCTTGCTCATTGAACAATTTGCGTCTGTATGCCTTGCGTCGTAGCTCCTCCATATGAGCCTAGCGTTAAGAAAATAATGAGCTTGTTTAATTTAAAGAATTATATTCTAACAAATTTTATATACATTTTGAATAAAACAAAATTGATACATACCGCACGCAGGCTTTTGTCTAAGAGATTTTCTTCCTTAGAATAAACCATTTCTTGAAGAATTCTTAACCATGAGTAAAGCTCTAGAAATTGGCTACTGACTTCTTTTAAATTCCAAGATTGTGTCGACACATCTGTTTCATCCCATGTTAATTCGCCATTTGCTTCCTAAGATACCAAAATAAGTTTTTTTTTGTATATTATCCAAAATTTATATTTTTATACTGTACATGCGCACAAAAATTTGAGATACTTTACCTTGCAAGTGTCGATTAAATTAGTATCCATAATATAATCATAATTGGATCTTATAGCAGCCCAAAAGTCATCTTTGCAATCTTCATAGTTTATCCACATTCTTTGAATACTTGTTTGCTTTGGATCTTTTCTGAAAATATGAATTAAAAATTATATCAATTTTAATCTATCAAAATTTAAATAAGAAATCATATATATATATATATATATATATATATATATATATATATATATTACATACGACTAAATCATAATTATCATACTAATACTAGTGACTAATACCAGTGACTAATACTAATACTAATATTAATAACAACATACCTCTTCTTGGTAAGACTATTATAAAGTCTTTCCGTTGTTGTCTTGACATGTTTTTGCCTTTCCAAGCTTTGACTATTTGGTTGAAGTGACGTTAAAGAAGTACTCATCTTTTTTGCCTTATAGTAATCTGCAAACATCAGAACACATAATCAGAAAACATTAAACATTATATAACAAAATTATCTTTCTCATATATCAATTTGATAAAATAATATAAATTTTTTTATGTAATATTTTTTAAAAACACAGTAAGTTCAAACACTATAAATATATACTGTATGAATTATTATGAGACATGTATACATATTCTCTTTGCATAATTTACTGTGTAATGTTATAACAGTTTCTTTTAAAATATGCACATATATATTACTAAAAAAAGAACGAAGGACTTCAAGAGTTAAGTCATAGATAATTTATCACTCGAATATAACCTTATCTGTAAGATTTCGCTCTTGATCAAATATTCCAAGTTTTCTACGCACAACACTTTGCTGAAATAGCAACGCGACATGAATTCTTGCGCAAATGTGCTAATTTCAGAAAAAAAAAGCAGCGAATCGACTTTGCCATTTGCGATGTCTCCATCGAGACGGAACTCGCACGAGAAATCCTTCGTTTCTCTCAAGTTAGCAGAAATAAAGGGGAGATACCTACTCGTATCGTCAACAGTCATCGGGTCCCCGGGATTAGATTGTTTTCAGTTCGTAGCGCCCATTTACACGTTTCGCCGACGAAACCGCGACCGATGAAACCGGAGACCGCGAGGAACTCACGCGGAGCTGGTGGGGCGGTGCACACATTCGAACGAAGACACACCTGTCCGTAATCGCTCCCTCTCCCTCTCTCTCTCTCTCTCTCTCTTTCTCTTGCTAGGAGAATGTCACCGGACAATTAAAAATTTCATTGCTTACGGTCACTGCTCGCTACAATTCTCCGCCCACGAAGGAACGCCGAGAAGCGAGTTGCGTCTACGAGGAGGCGCCGCGAATCAATCGCGTTTGGCTGACGCTAAAAACGGCATAACCTTTCCGTTCCGCGCGAGGCTCGAGGCGCGTAGCGACGTAAAACAAATCCACCGCAGGATTTTTTCTTTTTTTTTGTAATAAAGAACCGCCGTGCATACCATAGTGCACCACCGTCGACCTGCTCCGTGTTGTCTCGCGCGTGCGTTCTCGTCTTTCGTCCTCGCGGCAATTCGATGATCGGTTATATCAGCGCTCTCCGTTACCCCGTTATATTATCTCACGTGTTAGTCCGCGACTGCCAGCGACTGCCAGTCCTGGACGGTATCGTCGACGTCGTATCACGTTCCCCTGATAAGCATTTTCGGAATGTACATTCCAAAAAAAAAGATATATAAGATGCGCTGCAGCGCTTCCAACTGCGGGACATTTTTTTAGTCAACGGAACCGTTATTCACGCGTGATAAAGCAGGTGACAGTTATCGACTTATTGTTTTATCATATGACGATAACTCATTATAATTTATGCGGTTCAACAATCTAACCTCTGTAATGTAGCCTACGTAGGAGCTTTCGAATTCCAAAGGAAAATCAAAGGATACGGATTGTCAAAAACATGACAACAACAAATTATTTGGATTTGGATATAAATAAGTTATTCCAGGAGCATACCATTAAGGAGATCGAAGAAATTCAGAAAAAAATTCAATTGGAAAGTGAAAGAAAGAAGATAGAATTACGAACGTTAGTCGGGTAAGACTTCGTGTAATACTTTATCTAATACTTTAATCACAAAATCTATTTCAAATCATTAGCTAAAATATATACTGTATATTATTAAAATGCATATCAATTTGTATGTACGTGTCTTTTGTCATTTTAAAATTAGAGTATATTTTTTGAAACTGAAAAAAAAAAAAACTAAAAGTTGTCAAAATTTCAAAAATCTTGTAATTTATATTAATGACTTTTAGAGAAAGATATCGGGATCTAATATTAGCTGCTGACACGATTGCAAAAATGAAGATAACATCGGAACAAGTTACTGCAAGAATCGCTAATGTAGAAGATAAATTTAGGGAACTGCAAAAGAAATATTTAATTGGTTTTAAAACAGAACCAATTGGAGATAAGCTAGACAGGTGCCCTTTTTTAATATATATCATTACATCTGCATATATTATTTGCATGAAAATAAAATTGATATCGATATCAAATCTAAATTGTAGGGGTGGATATGTCTCGGATTCCATTATTATCCAAATCAAAATTCTAATGGATATTCCACAGTATATTTGGACGAGTATCGAAGATCAGAATTTACTACTTGCTACACAATTGTATATAATAGCGCAACATATAAATTATAGTTTAATGTTTGAAGTAGGCAGTATAGAACTGGCACGTAAATATCCAATTGTTTCGAAGCAATGGGATGTTATTTCTCAATTAAAGAATATTATATCTAATGAGTGTAACAACAGATTGCAGTCATTAGATGTTTCAACTATTGTTAGTATTCAAATTATAAAAAATAACTGTAATATTTAAATATTAATTATATTAATGATATATTTGTTTTACACAGAATGCTGCAAATTGTTTAGCATCTCTTGTATTTTTAAACGAATCTTCGTTTGTGGATCTTTTAGAAAAATTAATATCCACGAGAAGTCGCGCGATTGAATCTATTATTAAAGAAGAGAGTCATGATAGTGTCAAGAATAAGCTAAAGTTATGTATGAAGATACTTATACAAACTGTCCACTTGATTTATTCATGTTTTATATGTAAGTATTTTAGATTCACAAATTTTGAAATATTTTATATTATAATTATATCTAATTATAGATGCAGATAATGCACCAGGAGGTTTAGTCTTACAATTTATAACAGACATAAAAGATAAAGAAGCATATTGCTTGCTATCGCAACTTGATTTAAATCAAGATTTACTTGAGGAATTTTTGCCATCTGTTACCAAAAATCATAAACCATTTGTTCAGGATGTACCAAATAACTTTCCCTTATCAATCCTTCAAGACAGAGTTAAGTCTTGGTTGGAATGGGTTAATGAATTTTCTAATCTTGAAGTCACTAAATTATTAGATTTAATAGTTTCTATCAAAGGCCTATATAATGTCCGGGAAGAAGCTATCAGTGTGAATCTACCTGAAAATTGGAATTCCATATGGGAAGAGCTCTCTTTACCCAGAATAAGTTTCTGGATGGAATTCTTCCAGCCTATCATAACTAAACGAGTAAAATGTAATCGCACATTTCTCCATATACAAGGTGTCCGGAAAATCGCCCGCAGTATTTCGGAAAGTGATACGGGACTCAAAAAAAGTTAAAATTGAAATTTTTGAATTTAAAAATTTAAATTTTAAATTTAAAAAAAATTTTTAAAGTGCCAAGCGGACTATAAATTACGATTTTTTAAACATAAAAGTAGCTAAAACTTAAAAATGACTTATTTTATATAGCTTTTTTCCTTCTTTTTGAGTCTAGAAGGGATTTTCTGGATACCCTGTATACAAAATAAAGATTTTACATTGATAATTAATGGTAATCTATTAACAGGTATTATAATGGATAAGTGGGCAGATGCGCTAACCGATTTAAAATCCGGTATAATAGAATTACTGGAAAAAGTAGCGCATGACAAATTTGAATTTCCGGAACACGATTTACGATGGTTTGTATGGAAAGATTCCCCTACTGATATTCCACAGAAACTAACAAAAAATGGAGGATTAGATAACAAGAGATCCTTGCTAATGAAAGCTAAAGGATATTCCCCAAATGTAATCAAATTATGTGAAGGATTGGACGAAAATCTATATACGTTACTGTCTGATCTTGAGCATTATTTATATGAGACTGAACGAATAGTAACGCTTAAAGATAATTTACTTTCGACAAATATATCTTTAATTGCAAATTCATTTTGTGATCGTAATGAAGTACAAGAACATTTGCAAGTAATCAGCACAGAAAATATTGAAAATCTTGTACAGTTTATAAAGAATACATGTGTTAACGAAAAACCTGAACACGGTCAACGTGATATAAATTCTATTGTATTGGCAAGATTTCTCTTTGCGTTAACTACTTTATGTCCAAATTTAAATAAGTGTTTCACATCATCAAAACTATCTGGACTTATCATCACTAACGTTAAATGGCAAACTATTTGTGAAAACCTCAAGGAAGAAAGTACTTGCGTGTGGTCCATTTGGGCTGACATATATAAAATTAAAATAGCGGAATATATAAAAAAATATATATCAAGAGAGCCAATTGACGGATTGCGCGTTCATTGGATTGTATCCGAATGGGAAAAAGTTACCATCGAGGAAGAATCTGGGGAAGGAAAGCAAATAAAATCTGAAATTTTGATACCTTATCAACCATCGATACCTTTGCAAAAATTCTTAACAGTTATCTGCAAAGATTTAAATAAGATTATTCCTCATACGTTTCCAAGGTATGTAAGTGATGTAACATTAACAGGCAGCGAGACTTTATTTACCATGGTATATTCTATTCTTTTTTTAATTTTAGGAGAGTACTACAGCAAATTATAGAAAGAATAATTACAGAATTGTTTAATTATTATCTTAACTTATTGAAAGATGTAGATCTTAGGCAAAAACAAGCATTTCAAGTATTATATGATATAAAATATTGTACATTGCTTATGGTGCCACGTGAAAACAAAATTCTCAATGAATTATCAAATAAAACTTGTGAAGCAGTACTTACAAAGATAGATCCGTTCGACTATGATGTTTTTAATCCATTTATTCATACTAATATCAGAAAATCCGTTCAAAGATCTTTGGTTAGTATATCATATTGTGATATATGAAAAAGATATTTTTATTACTTTCAGAACTTGCAGTAATAACAAGTTTTTATTTTATCTATTTTTTTTTAGTTGATATTTGGCAATTTAGTATCTCATTTAGAGCAATTACATTCAATTTTGGGTGCACGCAATGAACATGTAAATAGTGATGGAAAAAATGAATTGCCTGCAATACTTGCAGTATGTACGGGGGCACCATGGTTCCCGCCGCTAACAGTAACTGCTCCTACAAGAAATTTGCCAGTTATATCGGTAACGATGCCGGACAAAGCACAGGTAACAAATATCCTTATCAGATTATATAATTAATATTGTCAAACTGGTGAAACAACATACTTAAGCATTTTCTACAAATATACCTACTCTCCTAGATTGCGTATGCCCTTTAAATGAGATAAAGATATCGCAAATGTAAACTTGGTAAGCTGGCGAATCTTGCATGTCGTGATTATTATGAATTAACGCTAATTGATTTTGGATTATCACAGCTCTATAATAATATTATTTATTCTTTATATCACTGGTTAAGAGATTATTTTTATTTGAAAATGATTTAATATGAAACTCATATTATCAAAAGACTAGAAATGGAATAAGTAGAATGCCATTCTGTACTAGATTGATTCCTAATAAGATTGAATGAATGTTTCTATAAATTGACGGATGATATTAATACATTTGTGTGAGGATGTGCAATGAGTAAATTTTTTAATTAATATATATTTATATTAATATATATTTATTTACAGCGCAAGAAAGTAACAACAAAAGAGAATACAAAAAGTGATTCGACCAGTGCAACGATAAAATCTGGTGCGGCCGCGTTTTTCGGTGCAATGGGATCAGATTGGTTCGGGAGTAGTAGTTAACTAATTTGTTAACTAATTCTCCTCGCATGTTTTATAAAGAATGTAAATATTAAACATTGTGTAAATAATATGTTAATAGAAAATATCTCTTTTTATTATATTATATCTATTTTATACCAGTTAAAATAAGAAATCTGTAAATGTGTAACATATACATCACAAAAAATCGATGTAACAAATATTTCATCTCGGATCGAGTCACACGTAATGAAATTATTGATGATTTATTAAAGGATTATTAAGGGCGACAAAGTATCTTAATCTCCCACGCGTGCTATCATAAAATTGGATTAAAAATTCGGAGGAAAAATACAAGATAGAGGAAATACTTGCTCCAGTGACTTTAAATCGACTGCAAACTAAAATACAGGAAGTACCACTAGTTTCCTCAAAGATGTCTATATATGTAAATATAATAAATATATAAAAATTAATAAAAACTTCAAAGTTTGAAAATATTAGCGCGCGAAATTGTTATTTAAATCAAGATA